AATAATTAATAATAATAATAATTAATAATAATAATAATAATTAATAATAATAATAATAATCAATAATAATAATAATAATAATTAATAATAATAATAATTAATAATAATAATAATAATTAATAGTAATAATAATAATTAATAATAATAATAATGAAAGAATCTTGGACAAAGCAACATGTCAGCTATAAAACAAAAAAGAAGAAAACAATAAAACAAGTATTTAAACCAATAAAAACCTTGAAATTTGAGAAACCATAAAGAACTATATTTTTCATAGTAATTCTATACTTGTACCAACTTTTAGTAATAGAAAGAACGAAAAAATTTAAGATAAAAATTTCTAACCTGAAAATACGTTGCTCTTCTGGAGTAAAAGTGAACTTTCCAGCACGGCCTGGCCCACTCATTTCAGTCTGAATACCAAGAACGCGAAGATAAGGAGTACGAATACCAGACATTGATTTTTCTGACATTTTCTGCAATATTTAAAATAATTCGATAAAATCAAACAAACAATTTTATATTCAGGAAATTTACTCGGATGCAATAAAAAATAAGGCGGATAATATTTTCATAAAATTTTGATCCTTAAATTTCTAGCTTTTTTCATATTCAAGTCTTATATATCATTATATAAAATCATATAAAACAAATGTCGCTAATTTGATTTTGGTAAATGGTTAAATTTTTGGACAAACTTCTTCTTCGAGAAACTATATTTCCGAAAAATTTGCAAAAATTTGTCGAAATATTTTTTACTTAAACTCATTGTAATTCCATGTATTTTACTAATTTTTTTTGAATTCATTAAATTGTCTAGTAAGAAAATGACGATCGAAATTTCTTATATTTATTGTCTCAAACAAATTTTTTTTTCGAGTTTATAATGAAAATTATATTCTTCTTGAACAAATTTTTTTAGTCTAAGTCACGTTTAAGTGAAGTTCTCAAATCCTCAAATTTTGACCTAAAATCAAATAAATGATTAAATTAAATTGGCGAACGGTGGTTTAAAGAAAATATCGATTTACGTATATATTTCTGATGACAGTTCAGCTAAATTCTCTTAAAATCTTAAATTCTTCCTTTTTTTCAAACGAAAATTGAAATGTTCAAAAAAAAAATTATGTATTACAATCATAAATTAATTAAATTATATAAATTATAAAAATATATATTAACAAATTTTTTTATTTTCTGGTTTATTTTTCATTCTCCTTTTTCTCTTTGTTGTCCTTGTCTTTAGCAGGAGCAAACCTGCCATGATAACAAAAATGCGGGTGGTTGCTGGGAACAAACCACCTTCCACTATATCCTCAAGCCACTCTATGATGAAAGGGTCAGGTCTTCTTGACATGGAGGCCAAGGCACATAATGCTTTCAGTTCGCTGGTACATGCGATAAGTATGCAATCCAAATGGGCATGGTCAAATGACCTCAAGGCTTAAGAATACGATTTGCTCAGGAGCCAAGATAACTGCTCGAAACCTGTCAAGGGAAATTGCTTTGTGCATGCGTGGCGAGATATTAGCCGTAGAAGCGGAGAGAAGAACTCTTATCGACGTTGCAAATGAGCGATTACTGTCCACACTCTTTAAAATATCGTGTGGATGTCGCCCGAGGCCTGTCTTTTCTACTTCGGGTCTCGTGTAGTTACCAAACCGAGCATACATACTGGCATTAACATCATTGTGGTGCTTCGAATAATTCGGGGCAAAATAGAATAGCGATTTCATGCCTGAAAAAGCTTGGTCCGCTCTTGATTGAGAGAAACACATGGTCTATGCCCGCTTCAGAAGAAAATTCTGCAACAGTCCGCTCTTGATTGAGAGGAACACATGGTCTATGCCCGCTTCAAAAGAAAATTCCGCAACATCAATCATCGATGTATATATTCAACTTTAAACGCAGATGAGGATAAGTTCTATGCGGAACTTCAACTTCTAACAAATCTCCGAAAAATGACATGGTCATAATCGGAGAAGACTGGAATATACGGTCACGATAATTGGCAGATATGGCATCGGGACTTTCTCCAGTGGTATCGACGCCACTGGAGAACGCCTTCTCGTTTTGCTGAACATCATGAGCTCTTTGTTAATAATATATACTCCCTAAATGGGAGAAGATATCTAGTCAAAAGGAACTCTTCGGATAACCAACATTTCAACCAGATTAGTTATATTTCACTTAATCGCCGTTGGAAGAGTTCAGTATAGATACCCTACTGAGGCGCTGAAATTGGTAATCTTCATGGATCGACCATGTTATGGTTGGTGCCAAGATTCGCACGACAATTCGCAAGAAACAATGTATCTCAAGATTTTTCAACTATCCCAAACTAAAAAATTCGTGGAGAGTAAAAAAGTGAAATTCGTGGATGTAATTTCAACGTGAATTATTGAAGTACCTCTTTGAAAGGAAAAATCATTTCTGGAAGAGGAGACGAATGCTAGTCCCAAAGGAATGTCCCCGAAAGTCAGCTAGTTTCATACCAGGATATGCCAATAAGAAATGTGAAATGTGCTTGGGAGAAACAACTGTCCAGCTGTCTGAAAAGCATGAATGGCAATCACAATCGATAATGACAATGGCAATGACAAACGCTTCGAAAAATCATAACGACAATAGCACGGCATGACAGAAATATCTATTGCAGTAATATGGGAACGTAAAAATGAAAAATGGTAAACTTGCGAATGGAGACGGCGGCTCGATTTGGCAATAATAGGAAACTATTCCGCCTTCTTTATGAAGCAACTATAGCTCAGAGAATGATCAGTGAAATGTTGCTGATAGCAATGGATGAATTCTTTGAAGCCAAAGTTAACCATGATGCATCATCTGTTGCCCCGGAAATACTTGATTCGCTCATCGAACCATATTTGCAACTACGACAAAAGAGGAAAATAATCTCTATCATTCAGAAATTTAAGGCTAATAAAATGGTCTTCGGGCTGAACTCTTCATCTATCACATCTTCAACAATTGAGCTTTCTAC